AGCATTGCTATAACATTCTGAATAATTATAAATATTGTATCAGAAATATCGATAGACCTCAATACCTCCTCAAAAAATCCTCTAGAAGTTTGGAAAACATTGAAAATAATTTGTTTAAGTCACTATCTTATAGAAACAAGACGGATCGTATGTCATAATGGTTGGATAATGATCTGTTTTTTTTTACAAGATTCAATGTTTACACTCGTTAACCCATGAATATTCTCTTTACTGTATAAAGTATGATCTTGCGACTGGAGCTTATGTTCAACTTTCCATCTACTGACTTTCACACAGTGCTCGAATTAGGAGAACTGGTAAATTGATAGACAGTCACATTATCAAGCATTCATGCACGGAACACATTACAGAACCATTTATACATGGATTATTTTTATTTAGTAGAATGGGACTATCAGTTTTATGATATAACAAAATGAAACAATGTCTATTTAGAGAACCAAATTTTTAAATATTCCAACTGACGAGATTAAACTTCACAAACATTAGGTTTAGTGAATAGTCTATATATTTTTTATGAATGAAATAAACTCTGAAAAATGGTAAAAGGAAGTAGTTGACAAATTACCATGTTTTCATTTATACATTATTAATTAAATAGTGTATTGCCGGCAGGCAGATTTGTAAAAGAAAAACGGTGTAATTTAATCATACTCATACAAAAAAAACAGAATTTAGGAAAATACTATTTGTAATGGCATGAAACTTGCGTACGACTACTCCGACATAGCATATATGCATCTAACTATCGTAACGTCATTTATAAATTGATACATTGTTTTCAAATTTTGTTCTTAATAGTTGAGTGCAGTGACAGTTCAGTAATTATTGCGTCCAACTTTTAGCTACTAAATTGCGAATTCGAACCGTGCTCCACTTATTTAGGTAAGAAACTTGCACTTGGAATGTGATGCAAAGCCAAGTAGTTAAATCTATCTTTAGCGAGTTATAAAAATTCTTGTAGATATGGTTAGTTTGATCACAGCATAGTGTTGCTGTTGTTGGTGTAAGGAGAAGGTCGATAAAAGACGATAACCCTCAAACAATTCTGTTTATTTAAAACAACCCATTTTCACTTTTCATTTGTAAACAGCTGTGCTATGTATTATGTTAGTTGTCAGTACACACAGATAAGATTATTTTTTAAACTGTGTTATTGAGTGCTTCATAATTTGAAATCAATACAAGAACTCATTAAAAAAATTAAATGTATGTTAGTTCAAATAATATTTTGTCTAAATGGAATTTTAATGGAAACTAGTTTACGTAAAATGTATTGATAATTAACATGGCTGAAATAAAAACGAAGGAACGTTATATGTTTACATTGAATTAGATAGTGGCTAGTGGTGGAATCCAAGATGCTCATTTAGTCTTATTTGGGACAATGTAGGTGGATGTAAATAGGTCCCAATGTTTGGACCCTAATGTGGTGACTTTTGTCTTGAACAAGCCCTCCACCTGCTTTGTTTTTTGTGTAGCATGTTTAAATTAGTAATATTGTCTGTATTGCAAGCTGAACTTCTAGGTGAATGAAAGTTTGAAGTTTATAATTATGTCACACTTTATTGGACCACAATGCGATCATCTCTCAGCCACGAACTAACGCAAATAATTGCTTGAATTAAGGATAATCGTAATCTAACTAGTTGACACTGGTGATCGATATTCATATTATTCAGTAGTATATTACATTATGTTTCATTTATTTATAAGAATCTCTTAACCATGAGCGATGTAAGCGGTTTCTATGCTTTTTAAATTATGCTAGCTCAAAACGGTTTCCTGAATATTGTGACCACTAACATCAATTTAAACGTATCCAATCTAATTTTTTGTTTTTTTGGGTCAAGGGTCAAATTTATGAAAAGTGTGAAGAAACGGATAGACTTAAATACAAGGTTAGATAACTAGAAAAGCTGAATCGACTCGAATGATTTAAGGAATCATGCTAATGATAATGATGACTCAGTTACTCTTGTGTTAAACTCATAAATGCCATGATTTTGAACAATTTGTAATGACCTTGGCCTTTTAAAGACAGCTTCGAGGAAAAGTCAATGATAGAGAAAGGAAAAGACAGAAAAAGCACAAATATATACAGAGAATTTAAGATGAAATAAGATGCATCTATTTGTGAGAGAATGACTGACCTTATCGTAGAAACACTACTTAAAGGGCATCTGGCTGGTTAATGATTGAAAGGCATTACTTAATGTATGAAACAATGTACTAGAGTGAGAAAGGCAGATGTTGGACTAAGTACACTTGAGTTGCAGATTAATTTGCCAATCAATTTCTTAACAAAAAGTTCCCGAATTCAGACAAATTGACTGTCTAATACTGTCAAGTTTTTTATTATTTCTCTAGGTTGTGGGAGTACTCATGAGTAAAGTGAAATATGATTCTTTGAATAAACTATACTAACTGCAGACTTGAGCAATTATCATCTACTCACGGCCTTTGCATATCTTGAAACAATTAAGTCCAACATTAGTTTCGATATCTACAAAATTGGCAGTACTTGTATAGGGGGGATGCTTGCTACTAAGTGTTAATCCCGGTCGGTGACCTATGCTCCACTAGGGATAACGGGCGGAAGTAAGTGTTAGTACAAAAAAGATAAGTTTGACATTGATTAAACAGACTTTATTATAGGCCAAAGGTTAATGTCAGTATGCAGTTCTTATTTGATACAAAGCCCAGATAGCAGATTATCTTAACGTCTTAAGAACCAGTAGGTATATGAATTCAAATTTTACACAAGCTGAATTTCTTAAAATTTTATTATGGCTTATTTCACAGAGTAAGTTAACTATTGATATTCAGTAGTTTCATAATTCATGTATCCATGTCTATTAGTAATTTCTCATCTCATCAAACAGCTGCTTCAGTATTTGATTTTAATATTGTTTAACTTGTATTTAGTAAAGATTAACTGTATCATACTGAAACACATTATCTCCCACTAAAGTCTATTCAGCTTTATGAGCATATCACTCGGTGTTTTGATGTTTGACAGCGATTTAAACACAATTTATTTTCATGTTTATATTGAGAGTGGAATGAAGCATAAGAGTCTACTTGGAACTATAATATCCCTGGATTTTGTATGTCTTAATGGATTGCAAAGTCTTTTGTTTTCAGAGACAAATAAACTCTAAAAGTATAATCTAGAATAAAAATATTAATCACTGGTCCTAATCAATCACTCATTTATTGTCTATTTTGTTTTAATAGTGTGACTAACGTTTCCATATACATAAACACACCAGATTAGTCATTATTTATACTAAAAATGTTTCAGAGTTGTCTTTTCTTTTTTAAAAAAAATTATTCTAAATGTGATAACCCTAATCATTCATGGTTGATGAAGTTATTTTGAACAAGTGGTTCATTTTTATGACTTAATTTGATGGATTTTAACACTTGTCATAATATTATTTATTTACTGTTCACAAATCTCTAAATTAAAGAAGTTCCATGGTTTCTATTGCAAAAATAAACACCAGATGGTGCTTTGTCTTCATACAAAGAACAGGTTGATATTTTCGAAAAGTATGACAGAGTAAAATGTATTGTAAAATGTAAAACTTCAAGTTTGAATTTAAATTAATCAACAGCTTTAGAAATAATTACTAGCTAATTTAAACGGATGGATTATTTCATCGATAATTGATGTGGTGGTCGGGCTTGCCTATCGTGATGACCCAACTGAGCTATATTGGTTTGAATATATGTTCCTGTAGGTTCTAACCTGCCAGGCAGGTCGATTGGAGAACGATGAGACTTAAAGCAGCTACTCAAAGTCTGAGCGCGAAGTCTTACTGCTGACTGTGATGGAGGGGTGTGACAGCAGTAAAGTGTTTACCTCGGACAACCAGCATCTGCAGTGATGCTGCCTTCCTACAAGGAAGGAAGGGGTTAGAATAGGTCGACCCTAAAAATGTCACACCTCACCTTACCTCACGGATTTCTGTCTCCGGCAGTAAGACCTTTTAAACAATAGCGCAGCTACCACTTCGAAAAGTTCTCAAAAATAGCTGTGCGTGGCCGGCCTCAAGCAGTTGTTCCTTGGGCTTCGTGGTCACGCTGCCAGGTCGTTAAGACCTACACTAATCTACCTTCCTTTTCAGGTCCCTCGAAAAACACCCTTCCACGCTGTCGGCTGCCCTGAAGTGACATCTGCACTCATACCCGTAACAGCGCGTGAGACTAAATCGGCCACAAATAAATCCTTCCTAAACCCCCTAACATCTCTTTTATCAACACGACTAACTTGTATACTACTTGTATACTGAATTTACGTAGACAGGATAGCTGTGTTTGACAAACTGTACTATTATACAGAAGAATAAATACTAAGTTATAAATTTCTTTTAATCAATCGACAATTTTTCTAGGAAATTCTTTTTAAACATAATAATTATTAGTTTATTACATTCTTTTCAAATACGTCGCTCGAAAATAGATAGGATGGATGACGTAATCCAGAAGCTAGTACATTGAAATTATTGTTACGATTCGTATTAATAACTTCAGCACATTTGAAACTCGGATTTAGTAAGTTGTTAGCTTTAATTCTCTAATAATTGGCTATCATAATAGTGGATTGAGATTTATTCAAGTTTTATTTTTAAACATGTTCATTACACTGCAAAACGTAGATGTTTGTTAGGATGATGTTTAATTAGTAGTTTTTAAATATCAATTTAGATAATGTTACGAAAGACAAATGAGGAACATATGAACATGGAATGCTACCGCTACACATTAAAACGAGAAAAAACCCATAGAATTAGAATTTTGACAAAAACATTCAAGTTTCCAGAATGTTGAACAGGATGAACGAAAATATACAAACAGATCAGTTGCAAATTTTACCGAATTAGTTCAGAGGTAACCTTTAGAAAATTTATGAACCATATAGAAAATATATTTAGTTGAGAGATCTATTCCTAATTTATCTAAAGCACAGTTTACTTATAACATTTTTTATGTTCCCAGCATACTGAATAATGCATAAACAGTGAACTTCTAACAAGATAAAAATTGCTTACTTTCATTTTTTTGGCATAAATAGTAGTTGAGCACACTGTATGACCAATATGTGATAAGCATTGATGTGGAAATGCACTGCTTGATGTATACGAGCTAGGCGTATTCACATCCCTACTACTATTATTAGTATTATTTATATTCTGATAATTCTGATCACTATTATAACTTCGTTCATTTGAATTTAAACACCGTAGACAAACAAACATTGAACATGTTATACAATATAAATTACAAATATATCCTGTATGATGTGTACATATTGGTCCAGTCAATTCATTCGGAATCTGTTTTGATGAATATGACAAACGATTATGATTATTAAATGAAGTAATTCGATGTTTGATCAATATTTCAATAGGTGGATGCCATAATTTCAAGCATGTTTTACAATACCAAAGATTACATTGTTCACAAAATGATAATGTTAAAATTTCATTTGAGGTTTCACATAATTGACATCTTATAGCAGATAAACTGTTATTATCTTTTTTAATAATTTCCGAATTAATTGTTGTTTCTTTATCCTGCTGCTGATGATGATGATTGAATTCAGTTTTAGTTATTCGTGTGATTAAATTTTCCAAAGCAATATTATGAGGTAATATATCATTTGATAATGTTTCATTATTTCTATTTTCTAAATTTAAACTAGTATTTTTCAATAAATTACTATTACTATGAGTAGTACTGCATATTCGACATAATTCTTGAATAGATTGTGTACGATTAATAGTTTGGTGTGAATATAATGCTGATTGACAATCATGATTAGATTCTAAACTACAAACAACTACACCAGAATCAGCTTCACTAACAGCATCTTCAATTCCAGTGGATGAATTAGTTTGAGTAATTGGATAATGTGTTTGATTATTATTATTATTAGTAGTAGCAGTGACGTTTGATGATTTAGTCACAGTTTTACAAAATTTCCCTATACATCCAGAACAAATAGAATGACCACATGGAAGTAAAAGTGGAGTTTGAAAGATTTGATTACATAATGGACATGTGATTTCTGGTTTCAATTTCGCCGAGATCATTTCCGTTCAATGTATTGTCCTAGAGTCATCATCATGTATTTTTAATGACAAAAGGTTTCGAAGTGAATCTATTGGTTTAATAAAATTGACCAATCACAGAGCAG